TTCTCTACCCCATCCTAACTGGAATTTTCATGAGGTCAAGGATTTTGTCTTACTTGTTCACATTATATTCTTAGCACTGAAAACAAAACCTGGTATATAATAGATGTGCAATAAATATAAATGAATAACTAATATAATCATCAAAACAATATTGCTAGATATCTTCTATCATTATCACCATGTTATAGGCCTAGGCAGATCGAGTGATTTGTTCAAGGTCACACAGCAAGTTTGGAACAGGGTGGGATGGTGTTCATGATTCAAAGTCAGTCAATCTGGTAATGGAGCCCACATTCTCGGACCCTATATAAAATGGCATCTAGAGGAAGATACTGACTTCTGGCTACAAAGATAATGGGAGCCTGACCAATGAATAAGAAAAGAAAAAGTAGGACCATGATTGTGCTCTTACATAGTTTAGACCAGTCTGATTTCATTGTTATTGTAAAAATAGGAATCTTGAATGTCGTAAATGCACAAAAGAAATTTTAAAAATATAGCCACTGAAATTGGAAACTCAATGATATGTGATTGGCTGTCTTTACCTATTTCTTTTTTTTCTCCTCCTTTTCTTCTTTTCCATCCATCTGTCCATCCTCTCCTTCCCTCCTTCTGTTTCTTAAGAAGCCCCTGGACTACTTCACAACGGTGATGGAAATGCTGGTAACAATTTAGATAGGTAGGTTATTTAGGAACTCAAGTGTCACATTTCCCATATGACCCTATGACACGGCTGGCAATGCTCTGTGCAATGTTGACCAGAGCAGGCTGAAGCATATGGATCCTGAGTCTGGAGTGGCATGGTATGAGTGAGTGATTTCTAATTCCCAAGAATTACAAGTATCACCACTTTAGGAGAAATCTAGGCAACACGGGTTTCTCAAAAATTTGGTACTTGAGAAGTGCAGCTTCTCTAATTTGGTTACATTTGTCTAAATATAAAAGTCTCTCTAATTAATATGGCTACTTGTTCCTAGTTCATGTCAATCAGATTTAGAATTCCCATTAATTAAATGACTGTCTTAGTCTGTTCGGGCTGCTATAACAAAATACCACAGATTGGGTGGCTTATAAACAGCAGAAATTTATTTCTCATAGTTCTGGAGGCTAAGAGTCTGAGGATCAGGGTGCCAAGCATGGCCGGGTGAGGGGCCCATTCCAGGTCGAACACTCCTCTTTGTATCCTTACAAAGTGCAAGGGGTTGGGGAGCTTGTGGGTTCTCCTATATAAGAACATTAAACCCATTCAAAAGGGCTTCATCCTCCTGACCTAAGCTCCTCGCAAATCTTAATGCCAACACCTTGGGCATTAATATTTCAACAAATGAATTTTGTGAGGACACAAACATTCAGACCAGACCATAGCACTGATCAAACTGGCTTCCAGTATTCACCACTTCTCTTTCTTTCCCTTTAGATTAATCTTTCTTGAGCACTTAGCCCATGAACCACACATTGGGCTAATCACCTTCCTTGGTATAGCTCATTGTATTTTCACAGCAGGCCTAGGAAGTAGGTACTATCATTACACACATTTTACATGTGAGGACCCAGAGTCTCAAGGTTGAAGGAGCAGAGCTAGCACAGGACAGAGCTTCAAGTCAGACCCCAGCATCTGACTCCAAGGCCGGTGAGCACAACCATTGCACACACGCTTCCTCTGCTGCCCAGTAACTGTCGGAGGCTGCACATAGAGCAACCCCGGGATCAGCTAAAGCCCATAAAGCCTAGAAAGATCTCCTTCTCTTTATATTCATTGCCTAGGTCATAAAGAAAAAAACAAAACTGTTCACCATTCAGGAAACATAAAAGTTAAGGTAGAACACTAATGTTGGAAAAAAAACCATTTAAAAACAAAAGGTGTCTAATAGGATAGGGAAGTGACAACTATATTTATTGAGTGCCATGTTTGTGGAACAAGTATGAAAATAAATGCCCCCAATTCCTTCCTTGAACTGTGTCATATAAAGGTTGGGAGGTTAGGTAAATGTGCATGAAAAACAAATATAAAGAGACTCAGAGACAAGCCAAAGCTAGTTATAGCTTTATGCATCTGAATTTAGAAATACTGATTCAATTGAATTGAGTAGAGTGACCGGTGGGGTGGGTTTGGAAGAAAAACAAAATAAAATAAGGGGGAAGTGAGTTCTGTTGTGGCATTTTAAAGAATGAGCACAATATGGTCTGATAGTTGGTGAAGGCATACCACACAATTATATGGTGATAACTAGCTCAGTTAGGCTAGGAAAGAGATTATTATGTGGTGCAGGTAAGCTTTTTCTATTTTAATCAGATTCAGATTAGTGTTTATAGATCAATTTTCCTAAAATAGTAATAAAAATATCTGACATTTTAAAGTGCTTACTATATGCTGGGCATATATATACAGGCTTTATACCTAAATACATATTATTTCTTTAATCCTCTATGAGGTACTTACTATTATTACCTTTATTTTACAGTGGTTAATTGAACTGCCTGAGGTCACTCAGCTAGTAAATGATGAACTTGGTCTGATTCAGAGCCTGAGCTAACATCCACTACGCTACCTTTCTAATTTCATTTATCTAGAGGGGGTAATCCACATGGCATAGCAAAGAATCAATAATTCCCAATTAAAAAGCCATATTACTAAGCTGTAATAACTTTCATTTTCTAAATACCTCTTGACTCTGTTGACCTTTCTCCACCTTTACTGTCACCACTAAAGTCTAAACTACTGTCACCTCTCACCTGGACAACTGCAACAGCCTTCTGCTTCCAGTTTTGCTCCCTTTCAACACTTCTTCAGAAAGATCTCTATGAAACACAAATGGGACCATGTCCCTTCCTTACTTAAAACCCTTCCGTGGCCTCCCATCGCTCCCATAGCTTCAGTGTTTGCCTCTTCCACTAGAAGGACGTGACTGCACTTGTCTTGTTCAAGAGTTGTATTTCCATGAGGCTTCCCTGGTGGCACAGTGGTTGAGAGTCCGCCTGCTGATGCAGGGGACGCGGGTTTGTGCCCTCGTCTGGGAGGATCCCACATGCCGCGGAGTGGCTGGGCCCGTGAGCCATGGCTGCTGAGCCCGTGCTCTACAACGGGCGAGGCCACAACCGTTAGAAGGCCACATACCACAAAAAAAAAAAAAAAAAAAAAAAAAAGAGTTGTATTTCCAGCATCTAGGATAGTGCCTTGTATATAGTATAAGTGAATTAAATTTTTGTCGAATGAAAACCAAGTGACCCTTGAAAAAAATATTTGTCACTTAAATAGGAAAATTAAAAAGAATGCAGTTGGAGGCATGGAGGTAGGTTTTTCATACTTTTCATAATTTGTCATCACACAATCACTTGTTTATTTTCTTCTTTAATGGCTCATGCACTTTAGACTGTAAGTTCCATGAGGGCAGGGGCAGTGTCTGTCTTGTTCCCTACTATACCTTACCTCTATGTCATGCTCATGGGAGGTATTTAATAGATATTGGTTGTATGAATAATTTCAATAACCAATGAGGATTGGAAGCTGATGAGTCAAAGATGACTAATAGTACTGGTTAGGGCAGAATTGGAACAGGAAAGCCTAACCATAGTTATAAGACCTGTGGATGATGAGGGTTCTTTCATTCATTCAATAAATACTTATAAGGCACCTACTATGTGCCAGACACTGTGCTAGGCAGCCTCTGCTATCATAGAGCTTAACTCTAGTGATAAATCAACAGGCAATTAAAATTCAGTGAGATAAATTTCCCAAGGGAGGGCAGGAAGGGGGTGCTTCAGAGAATATTTAGGAACAGACATTCAACCCAGACTTGGGCTGTCAGGAAGTGATGTGTAAATGGTTAGTAGCTAAAGGTAGAGAGTGGGAAAATGATGTGGAGTATTTGTACGTGTAAGAGCCTGGAGGCAGGAGAGCTACTGGTAGGTTCTCTATAACCTAAGGTTCATTCTTAACTTCCTTTCATTCAACAAATTTTTATTGAGCCCATACCACGTGCCAGGCAGTGTTAGGCCATCATTAAATTTATATTTCAAAACTAATTGTTGAAAAATGTAAATACAATATATATTACACATATATAATTCAAAATTTATTTTTATTAAAATTTTTATTAAAATTTTTTTCCCCTCTATTCCACTAGGAAGACACACTTCTGGACTGGGCACACCTCCACCCCTCCAAGTGCTTTGTAGATTCTTAATGATTATTTATTGAATTAATAAAGGAATGCATGTGAGAATAACTAATCTGACCACCAGAAAGTAAAAGTCTTGGATCAGCACTTTCCAATAGATCTTTGTTTGATGATGGAAATGTTCTATATCTGCACTGTCCAGATATAGTAACAACTAGGCACATGGACTTTCCAGCACATGAAAAGTGGCTAGTGCGATTGAAGAAATAAAATTTAAACTTTACTTAATTTTAATTAATTTAAATAGCCACAATGTGGCTAGTGACTAGTACTTCAGACAGCTCAGTCTTGGTTGGTGACACGGATGAAACAGTCTGAGCTTGGCACTGGGACCAGGTGGAAGGCTTCCAGCCTCTCCTTTAATAAAATGGAGATTGTTAATAAATGGCTATAAAATGTCTAAATTCTGGACTTCTGAATGCTACCGACAGCGATAAATATCTGTGCACAACGGCAACGCATAATTAGCACCTCAGTCACTGAAGATGAATATACCTTGCATCCGGGCATCCTGACAAGACACCCAAACCACCTCCATGCGGTGAAAAGGTTGAACGCGGGCTATCACCACGTCAATCAGGGCGCACTCGAGGCAGTCTGCGACCCCGAACTGCATCATGGGCTTTGTAGTTCAACATGCTCATGACGTCACTACCGGGTCCCCTCTGAGTGGCTTATCGGGTCACTTCCGTAGCCTGTTGTCCTCTGGGAAATGTAGTCAGTAGATGCCTGCAGGACGTGGGGTCTAGGGGTCTGGGAACTACGATTCCCAGCAGGCTATGAGATGCCCCGGAAGTACTTACTTAATGAGCCCGTGATTGCCTCATCAGGTGCGAAGTGTGTGCTTTAGTATCGTGGTAGGCCTGGCTTCCCAGAGAGGGAGGGGAAAGGTTGTAACCACTCCTTTGAGAGGGATCACCGAAGTCACCGTCGTGGGTTTGCACAGTCGGACGGGCGGCGCCATGGCGGTGAGTTTTGGCGGGAAGAGGGTCCGCTAGGCCAGGCCTTGGAACCCTGCTGATTACCTGCTTTCGCTAGAGTCTAGGGGCCCCATGTGGTAGCCACTGTCCTGAAGGGAAAAAATCCTTTTCTAAAGAATGGGGAGGCCTTGCGTCCCACGTTTAAGGCTTGGCTGTTGTGAGGATGTGCCTTTTCTTGCTAGCTGATGAGTGAGGCCCTGATATCTTTAACTTTGTAGACTACTTCATGTCACGTGTGTTATTTCACCAAAGTTTCTAAAAACTGATTTGGAGAAAGAGGAGTATGTGACATTGATTTCTCCTTTCAACAAAAGTTTTTTGAGCGCCTCTTTGTAAAGTAGACAAACATTTCTGCATTCATTGTCTTTACGTGTGTGTGCGCTACATTCTAAAGTATGTGGTAAAATATGTCAGGTGCCGGTAGGTGCTATAAACAAAAAATATAGATCAGGAAGGGGTAGATCAAGAAAGGCTTTGCTGAGGTGGCATTGTGGCAGAAGGTAAGGGAGCAAGCCATGCAGCTATACGGAGGAAAAGATTTCCGGACAGAGCCAACAGTGTGAGTGGAGTGAAAAACAAGGAGGGTTGTATGTGCAAAGGACTGTCATCCAGGGGGAGGTGATGATGATGATGATGATGATGACGTGTGTGTGTGTGTGGGGGGGGGCGGGTAGTGGTGGTGGTGGTTGATTGGTGGGTGGATGTAGGTCATATAAAGCCTCCTAGGTCCTGATTGAAGAGTGTGTTCAAGAATGAATGGGAAGAGAGAGACTGGAGATAATGAGTATGGATAACTCTTCTGAAGAATTCTATAAAGGAGAGCAGAGGAATGGGGTAATAGATGAAGGTTAAAAGAGGGTTTTGTTTGTTTGTTTGGTTTTGGTTTTTTTTTAAGGACAGGAGAAATTATATAGTGGTTGTATGCTTATGGAAATTGCCCTGTAGAAAGGGAAAACTGATAGAGAAAAGTGATTTTCCTGTATAGAATAAAGGGGGTGAGATCAGATCTACTAAGAAGTAGAATTTTAATTCATTTGGTCCCATTCTGGAGCTCATTCTCTTAATTATTGTACTATTTGCAATTGTAAACTATGGTGAAATTTCTTTTGCAAGCACCTTTCTGTAATGAAAGTTTTCTAACTCTGGAAGAAACCTTACCAATAGTAAAGAGTATAAGATAATAAACATGGAGTAGCATGGATATAAAATTAGTTTTTATATTATAATTGAATTTGTAAAGAGCAAGCAATGTAATTTCCTTCATATCATAGGAATATTTATTTTATAGAGGTTTTGACAGTTTTTTTTAAAACTTTTTTTTTTTTTTTTTGGTCGTACGTGGACCTCTCACTGCTGCGGCCTCTTCCCGTTGTGGAGCACAGGCTCCGGACGCGCAGGCTCAGCGGCCATGGCTCACGGGCCCAGCCGCTCCGCGGCATGTGGGATCTTCCCGTACCGGGGCACGAACCCGTGTCCCCTACATCGGCAGGCGAACTCTCAACCACTGCGCCACCAGGGAAGCCCGGTTTTGACAGTTTTAATACCTTTTAGTTACATGTCAGACTTAGACCGGGCTTTGTTGTAATAAAGATAATAGTCAACTTTAAATTTTTTGTTTTAAAATTTTTCATTTGGAAAATTTAAATAGTGAACAAAGTAGAAATAATAGTGTTATGTACTTCCATGTGCCCATCACCCAACTTCAATAATTGGCAGTTCAGGGCCAATCTCGTTTCAGTCTTACCTTCCCCAGAACCTCCTCCTCCACCTGTCAGGATTCATTTTAAACAAACTCAAGGCGGTGTATCATTTCATCCATACATATTTCAGTAAGTTTTTAAAATATAATGAGATATTCTCTTAAAACATAACCACAATGCCATTTTGACATCTGATAAAAAGCACGTGATGTCTAGTTGTCTCTCTGTGATAATGGTTAACATTATTGAGCATTTACCATGGGGCCGGCACTATGCTAAGTCCTTCATGTGTATTATCTCTTTATCCTCATAATAATAGTACAAGGTAGATATAATTATTATTCTCATTTTATAGAGAAATGGAGGCTTAAAGAGGTTAAGGATCTTGTCTAAGTGCTACAGCCAGTGGTGCTAGGATATGGCCAGAGTACTAAGAGAAAGCAGAAATAAAAGTCAGAAGATGAGGGTTTTTGTTCAGCCTGACCATTTGCTGGCATGATGATCTCTGAGCTTCAGATTCATCATCTTTGAAATGGTAATCGCTGGTCTGCCCACTTCTTAGGGCGATTGTTGCCCACCTCTTAGGGTTGTTGTTAAGATCAAATAAGTTAATGTGCATAAAAGTTATAAGAACTGCAGAATACTATGAATATATGGAAAAGTTTATTATCTAGTTCAGTGGTTCTTTACTGGGGGTGATTTTGTCCTCCAGAGAACATGTGGTCTGGAGACTCTGGATTATCACAGCTGGGGGTATGCTACTGGCAGCTAGTGGGTAGAAGCCAGGGATGTTCCTAAACATCTTGCGGTGCCCATGACAGCCCCTGAAAACAAAGAATTATTTGCCCCCAAATGTCAATAGGGCCAAAGTTTAGGAACTTTGCTCTTGTTAAATAACCTTTTAACTAGTTAAAATAATCAATTGTTGGGAATTTCCTGGCCGTCCAGTGGTTAGGACTCTGTGCTTTCACTGCTGAGGACATGGGTTCGATCACTGGTCAGGGAACTAATATTGCGCAAACCAAGCAGTGCGGCCAAAAACAAAACAAAACGAAACAAAATGAGACAAAACAGCAAACCAATTGTTTAGTTGAGCCACCAATGAAGAAATTGAGACTCAGATTGATCAAGTGACTTGCTCAAAGTTATACAACAAGTTGATGCTGAGGCCAATATCAGATTTCATTACAATTGACCTTTGAGTTTTGAGGAACAAGTTTTTCTGAGAAGCAGAGACCTCAAAGAAGAGCTTTTGTGCATTTAGCACGCTCAGTACAGTGAAAAGAAACACATAGTTCTAAGTAACTTGTGAAGACTTGCTTTCATGGGTGGTTGATGTCATTTTTAAGCAAAAAATATTTGTCATGTAACTTCTGTGTCTGTTAGCATTGGATGTGGTGCTGAGGTGAGTATAAATGTTCTAAAAGTTGCTGTCTGCCAGGAGTTTACAACCCAGTTGGGTAAATATGAGAGATTATTTGGTTGCATGCAGTGGAAGCCAACTCAAGTTGGTTAAAGGAAAGAGGAATTTACTAATGATACAGTGGGATTTCATATGACCCATGACCCTAGGATAGGAGGTACAACAAGGCTTCTTGAGGCCTTAGATAATTTGCCTTTGTGGGCTGCTTCCTCTGTAAAAAAAAAAATATATTAGAAATTATATTTGACAACTGTGTTGTATAAAGACAGATATATTAATATTATATATTAAAGATTTTTATTCTATCCAAAAGTTTAATTTTTTCTTCTGATTTTAAAAGATATTAAAATATTTTGATGAGCCCCTAGAAGTATTGTGGGCCCTAGGCAGTGTGCCTGTTCCACCTACAGATTAAGTTGGCTATTAGGAGTTGTACAGGCTGTTTTAAGGGCCAGGTGGAAGTGACTTACTTTCTTCTGCTCAAAACTCCTTTGCCAGAACCTAGTCCCATAGCTTCAATCTGTGAATTCTCCTGGAACCATGGAAGAGCATGCTTAACTGCCTTTGCTGCACTACCCTAAGTAAGGTTGGGCGTCTGTTGCTGAGGAAGAAAGGGAGGGAATGGATATCGCATAGGCAAACTGTCGTCTCTGCCATAGCTTTTTTTCAAATGGTAGTTCTTGCATGTTAAAATTGAAAACAGGGGTCAGCATGTATAGGAATAGAGAGACTTACTTATAATTTACAGGTTACTTGTTAAAAAGAGGATTTTGCAGTAAGAGGGGGCCAAGGAGCTGAGGGTCTAAGTGAAGTTGGTTGGTAGCAGG